TTAGACTATAGCTCATATGGAGTTTCTCAAGCCGGGGTATCTTGCGGGATTAGCAACCCTACCCTAAACCCTAAGGGCCTTGGTTAGAGGCACACCTGAGGATTGTGCGAGAGAGGGACTGTTCTAGGAAGCTCCCGCACAATTCCTTTTGGCTTCAGCACTCAGACTATGCATGCTGCATCGATCTCCAGGAGTGTGACCAGCGATTGAAATCAGGAAGCACCACGCAACCTAGACCCTGCAACTACACGCAAGTTAGGCCTAAGTACCCACTATTAAGGGCCCCAAGTAAGGGTAGGAGGAGTATCCTGAAGAGGGCTCTCTTTTTCACTCCACGTTTGCCTCAGAGCTGCTCTGAGAGGCTGAGTCGCTGTGCTCAGAGCCCTGGACATTCTCCTCCTTCCATGGCTTTGGGCTCGCGCGGGACAGTGGTACTGCAGGTAGGAGAAGAGAGGCAGCGAGGACCTCATTCGGTGGCTCAGACGGAAGTGCAAAGCAGCAGTCCAAATCACTGATCAGTGTGAACATAATACAGGCCTGAGCCCATATGAGACTGGCCAGCACAAGCCATAGTGGGCCCAAAGGCCACCAAAAAGCATACGCGGCTGCACCAGCATGGATTAGCAGCATGCTTCGTGGAAATAGCCATCGACTTTGTGTGGTTCGAACATGGGCAAGACCCCAGAACTCCGCAAGAGCGTAGCAAATAATCCAAAGAAACCACACGAATGATCGCTGAAGCGCTTCCACCAGTATCCACAGCAGAATGGCTGCGCAAACCGCCCACGCAACCCAAAGTTCAAGCAGCACTGTGGACGGTGCACGGTTCACTCGTCGCATCTGTTCAGCAATGAAAGCGAAACGTCGCATTTGCCGCAAGCACAGCATGTTGTAGATGTACATCCGGCAGGAAAGAACGAGCACCCTTCGGAGGAAGGCACTGAAGACGACTGCTCCAATGCAGAGGCCACCGAGAAATAGCATGCTGTTCAGCAAATTAGAGAAGAAAGTCACGACGTTCCAGCCTCTGCGGCCAGCAGCCATTCTTGATTCAACAGACTCCAATGATACGGTCTGTTTCGAGCTAACTGTGCGAACGTGCAGGAAAGGCCGGAAATCGGTCCCACAAATCTCGTTGTTGGAGTCCGTCAAGAAGTGCCGTGGAAGCGCATGTAGCATATACATGTCATGCAGCCCAAGACTGGACAGAAGACTTCTGGACAGGTAGACCCCGAAGTATTTGGGGTCCTCAACCGACACTCTTACATGCTTGGTTTGCACGCCCAGATTTCGGAACGCGGTGGATTTGACGTCCAACCAGGGGGCTGTGGGCCCCACCGTAACCTCATATGTCGGCCGTGGAAACGCAGCATCGTAGCCAAAATAGACCAGGGAGGACAGCCGACGCAACACGTTGGTTGAAAGATCGCTGCTGTCCTCCGTGCTGTTCCCGGAACCTGTCGTTGTCTCGTTGGACATCGAGAGGTTTTCCATCTCTGCACCCGGGGTATGGTTTGCAATAGGTCGCATGTTGACCAGATCTGCTGCTGCCGGTTGCCGCGCCCACCAAGTCTCTAGCAACTCCACCCGAACGATGGTCGGAGATCCGACTGCGTGAGCTGTCAAGTTCTCCATGCTGCTGTGGCATCGAAAGCTCTCCCATCCACCTTCCTGCGCGACGAGACGTGACAGCCTCAAGGTTGAGTCCATCTGTGTGTATGGACAGACAAATGCGACGTGGACCATTAGCAGCAGCAATGCTACCTGGGCTGTCGAAAGCCAAACCAACTGTTGAACAAGCGCTCGCTGGTCGGTAGACAGCAGACCTATGACACGCAAGAGAGCATCGTGACATCCCCGCATAATCATGTGGAGAAAGTACAGGTCCGATGGACGGATCGTTGCTTCTGAGCTGTGTGCGGGTGGGTTTTCCACGATGTCCAAGCGCAAAGCAAGCATGAAAGTCCGCGAGAGCTCCACGAAAACATCATTGACCATCGACGTGGAGAAGCCAATAGCGAAGCTTGATCTGTCGCGAGAAGTTTCCCAGGGCCGATGCCAGCTAGCTTGTTGGCCCTGTTGGCCTTGGGGATGCGTGGGCTGCTCTTGTCTCGCCTGGTTGGGCTGCGACGGTTGCGATGGCCGTACTTGCTCTGGCTGTCCGGAAACATCTGGGCTTGGCCCAAAAGACTGTGGGGTCTCCGGCGTGTTGAGGCTTTCAGCCTGTGGTTCCTGGGGGGAAGTGGTCATCTTCGCCCAGGGACCATGGCGCAGAGTGCTAAATCCCACTTGGACACTGACTTGCCTGTTCTATGGTTAACAGCGTTTGTGGCCACAATGATGCAACAGCAGCTATTCCAGGGCTTCTCGACAGGCGACTTGGAGTGTCCGAAGCTTCATGCCTTATGAGAGGCTGTGTCTAGGTCTTGTGAACTATGTAACTCTCAGAAAGCTTTGAGCAGTCGGGATCCTTCCTTTCGTCCGTGCATGCAAGCTTAGAAGATTGACTCACAGAGTCTATGTTTTGAAGCCGCTGCCCAAATCAAGTTCCTGCTCAGAGTGGCTCCCCCTAACAACCCCAAGGCTGACAACATTCATGCCTTGAAGAACTCGTTGCCCTTTTCCCTGTGCTCCTCAGCCTCACACACACACACATGCCAAACAAGCCAGAAGTCTGCGTCAGACTGCGGATTTCTGCTGAGTCATCACACTAAGGGCAACTTGAGGCAACAGAAGCTTCTGCACTAAGACCGTCTTAGTACCCTTAAGTGGGGATATATGNNGGCCCTAATAGAGGATAGGTGGAGGATCGAGGCACAACCAGCCCCCCATGCCTTGGCTGGGTCCAGGTAGGCTTCTTTCTCATGCTTCTCTTTTGCCCTCTCGCACTCCTTGGAATGACCAGCCAGGAAAGATGCAACAGCAGCGAGTCACGATGAAGAATTCATGTTGTTGTTCTTGTTCCAATGTTAGTAATACTGATCTTTCACACACTCTTATTAATATTAATAGAATATGGTGGTAAAAATGTACTATGAATAGTTTTAATATAGCGCCGTGCAGTGCAACCTTCTTACACTGTGGCAATACCAGTCAGAATCAAATGGCAACTCAGGCAAGTTTGCTTGGCCCCGGCTAGAGTGCCCTTACATGAGCCATTGTCTAAAC